GATGCTGCTTGGCCTGCTGTGTTCATCCAGCTCTACACCTTGTTATCACTTTATCATATATCTGTGTTGGGATTGTTAATGACGCAGTTTGCCAAAGAGTTGTCAACAAGTCTGAATGGATTGCTGGCTATAATTTTGGGTAAGGAGTTCCTTTTGGTCGCACTTGCCCTCCTAACAATTATAATAGCAATAGAACAGAGAGGCAAAAACATAATAAATAACAAGTAAATTGTCTAAATTTCTGAGAAACTGAATGTGAGATGAAAAGTTAAGTTTTAGGAAGTGATTAAAACAAGGAGGGAGAAAACAAAAAGTATAATTCAGCCATCACAACAGGGTACTTTGAAAGACATTTTTAATTGTTAATTATTTATTTTAAAAATCTATAAGTGCATAGAGATTGCATTTGTAATTTCTTTACAGATACCAAACAGCAGAAATTTCACTCGATCATTCATGTGAGACTTGGCATGTGTTTATTAGAGACAACGCTTGTGTCATAATGCTAACGGATTCATTTTCTTTCTCAATTTGTAAATTACTATAGAACACAAAAGCAGCTCAAACATGATTTTTGTTTGTTTTGCAATTTTGCAATTGTGATTTTAGTCCAGAATAATCTCCTTTTCGGGACATTACTTATGCTCGAAAAGATGTTATTGTATGAGGCAGGAGAGGTTCTACAGGGACTAGCAAGGTGGTCCTTTAATGCCTTGCACAGATCTCCATTTTCTGTGTACAAAGTGAATATTTGAAAACACTTAATTATGGTTAGATCGCAACCAACCCTAGACTTTATTTGCCTGATCTCCAAACTTGCATATTTTCCAGCAGGCATCACTGAATGATTATTAGGACTTAGGATCTGGATTGACTTATACATTCTCAAACTTGAGACTCTACAGCCAGTTGCAACTTCTTCCAGACCAGTATAATTGTTTGTGCAAATATCTATATATCATTATCATATACTATTTAAATAAATCCAATCTAAATATTCCCCAACTGTACTCTCATGCGACGGTAACCTGAAAATGGTTGATGAAGGGACCAAAATGAAATTTTCTCCGAGGCAAATTAAAGTTTTTTCTGCATAACGATCGTCAGGAATTAATTAGATGTATTAGACTCAGCAAAACTATTCTTGTTTATAAAAAAAATGTACATCAGTAAAGGGGATCAAAAATTACTTTAAAATACAATTCAGCATTTTAATCTCAACTATATTCTATAACTCTGCAGATGTACAGTGGGGTTTAAAAGTGATCGATGTGACCAGAAAATGAACCTTTGTGATTACTACTGTCAAAATGGCGGGGTTTGCACTTTAACTGCACTTAATGAGCCTCAGTGCAAGTAGGTTTTGACCTTATGCCAGACACCATTCTTTGCTATAAAACATTGAAATCCAGCAGACTCATCATGCATTGGTGGCATGTTTCCATAGCCTAGTAAATTAATTGCTTTTATGCATGGCATGCTGTTGGTCTATATCAGAGCTAATCATCTTCTCAATGCATTGCTATTTAAACAAACCTGCTGTCTAATCCTTACTGCATGCTCCTAAATGCTGTTCACTTTTGCTGATATCTGTAGGTGCTCTTCCACTGGTGTTTGTGACAGTTGCAGTACATTAATTTTACATCCTTAATTGGTTCATTTCAGGTGTTCTGATGAATGGTCGGGCACACAGTGTGAAAGACCAGCTCCCAAGAGCAGCAAAACTGAGAATACCACAGGGAGTAAGTAATGAAAATACATGTCTTACTGTTGTTGATGATATCAGCTTCCGATCATGAGACATTGGTCTCTGTTAATTTGAGGGTAACCTTCCAGGGTCAATGGCTTATTGGACTGCATAAAAACTTTGTAATGTTGTGCCAACCTAGAGCTGAAAAATGTTTAACACATGACAGTATTAATCCTTTGGTTTATTACTTTGACATTCTAGCTGGAAGGTTAGCTTTTCATTCAATTTGATTCTGGTTACTGTTAGTTTTAGTAAACATGCAGTAGTTAACCTCGTATCTGACCCATATTATGTAATGTTCACAAGGCCTTCTCTAACGGCAGCTACAACTAAACCTGAACAGGAGCTCAGAAGAATACAGTTGCCATGATAGTTCAGTAAACATTAGGATATTTTTTCAGAGAGGTTGTGGACTGAAAATATAACTGAACATATCACGTCAGTCTTTTTGACACAAGTATTTTGAGAAGATAATGTGAAGAATGCCCAGCAGCATTGCTGAATGTCAACCTGTTACAAGGACTGCTTTTAAACTGCCATCAGTTGACAAGTCAGGAATGAGTCTACTCTTCAGGCATTCAGCCCTTTTTCATTTTTAAGAAAGGAGGCCTCATACACTGTAGTCCAAGCAGTTCTACATCACAGCATGCATACTGATGTTATGTTCCCACAAAAAAAAGTGTGCTACAGAGCAAGCCCAGGAAGACTAGATGCACAGAAGTTAAAGTAAGGGCAAAGAAAGGAAATTTTTGTCATTATAATAATAGGAAAATGTTTCACTTATGACATTTGATTTTTAATACCTGGAGCCTTTCATAGATTGAAGTAACTTTAAAAAAGGAAAAACACAAACTTAAAATGGTCAAAGTGAGCACCTGATCACAGGTTGAGGCAATGCATGAAACCATTAATAAACAAGACCCAACCTGAACTGAAATTAGCATGTCATCAAGCTGAGTGAAACTAGTCACTTACATCTATACCTTCTGATGGATTTACATCTTTCTGGATTTCTTACAACTGAGGATGAAAATTATCACGATGTAGAGGTGCCAATGTTGGACTGTAATGGACACAATCACAAATTACAGTCCAACAGGCTTATTTGGAATCCATTCTGAGGAAGGTTCACCGGACCCGAGACATTAACTCTGTTTTCTCTTCCACAGATGCTGCCAGACCTGCTGAGACTTTCCAGCAACTTTGTTTTTGTTCCTGATTTACAGCATCCGCAGTTCTTTTGGTTTTTATTTGGAATTATAGTAGCTTTCAGAGTACAACCCCTTCATCAGGTGCAGTAAAAGAGCAGGGCATACAGATATAGAGTTTATAAGCAGAGAGATCAAAGACAGACAGGTCAAAAGATCATACAACTGATGTGATTGGAGTGTCACATGATAAGTCTCTGCAGTTGACCAAGAGTGTTAAACAGCGTGTAAGGTGTTTATAAAGTCGCTGTCAGTGCTGTGCTGTCATGACAATCAGGCAGAGCCATAGGAATATACAGGTGACATCTCAGGACAGACACTGAATTGTGGGTGTGAGGCTTTATTCAGAATTTTTTTTTTTCAGAATTTAACCATGGAATCAGGCAAGTTTTATTTTGAAAGTTGAAATTTATAAGATGCCACACTGACTGAGTGTGACTGCAAATTGTGTGTGTTTTTTGAACAAAATAGAATGTATCTGTAATTAAGCAAACATCATGGATGAAATGATTCACCCCATAGATGTGTGTGTGTGTGTGTGTGTGTGTGTGTGTGTGTGTGTATACGCTTGAGAGAGAGAGTGCATGCAACTGTAAGACAGTATATGTATGTGTAAAATTACCAACAAATTCTCTATCTTGAAAATAATAATGAAGCTAGACACAGAAATACTCAAGTGAACTTTATTCCAGACAACAGCATTTAGATAACAGAGAAAAAAAGGTAGATTCATAACTACAGAACTGGAAGGCTTGCTCTTTCTCTCTCTCTGTTTCTTTATACCCTATCTTTTTCTTTCTTCTTCCTCTCTGTGTCAACAAAACCAAACTGTAGAAATATCGATTCACTGGCAATGCAAAGATTTAGATTTTGCTACTGCAGATGAATGTCATCAATGAAACAACCAGGATCTCAGGATGAAACCAACACCTCTCAGACTGTAAGGAGCTATAAAACTGTATATTCTTGCTCTCCCCTTTTTCTAGATATACTATACCTTTTAAATTTTACACCAGTGATTAACAAATGACAAAATTCCTGGTTCTTTTACTCAAGAAAATCTTGTGATTGGCTCTTCAATTTTGAAACAGTGAATTAAATCATTAATGAAATGTGATAGCGCATGCTAAAGAGGAAATGTAAGAGTATTTGTTGTGACCAGCTGAGGGGGTTGATCAGATGGGGCCAATTCACTCCTCCTCAACTTACCATAACAAATTAAGGGCTTAAGTAATAAGATCCAAAAGGCAAATGAAATAATTGGGGAGTGGGAGAAATAATTCTTCCTTCAAAACCTGTTAAATAAACTGCAAAAATGGTATCTCATGTCTGTAGTATTAAAATACTAAGACATCATTATTTGTGAAGTAACCCCTCAGAGACTCATTCCCGTCACTTAAGACAACCTTTATTTATATGTAGAAAGTCCTTGACTCTAGCGCAGCCTTATAAGAATGCACACCCAGAGTGTCACAATCACTGATACGCCTCTTTTTATCTGTCAGCCATGGCTCCCTGATTGAGGCTGTTAATCTGGTCCAATCAGGGAACTCATATTCTGTGAGGTCCAGCTTGCTGGCCTTGTTATAATCACTACAATTTGATTTTAATACTTTTACAATACAATACAATATCCTTTTATTGTCACATATACTCCATTGTAGGAACACAGTGAAAAAACTTTTACAATGTCTGCCTTCTTACAGCGATGTCTTAGGTACAAGTACCTAGGTACGATTCTTGAATACAGCAGAGGAATAGAAGTAGTTGCTTAATTATAGAGTTGAAAATAAGTTAAAAATAGGAAAATATTAAGGGGTTAATGTTACAGTATTCAAAGGTAATTTCTAAGGTAAGGATTGTCTCCTCACACTGGTCCCCACCCAGGACTTGCTGCCTGCATGCTGCTCTGGGGCTTCTTCCCATGTGCTGCTCCAGAGCTCACTGCTCGTGGTGTTCTGCGGCTCACAGGGAGTGCCTGTGGGCCCCCAAGCGCAAGGCCGCACTGCCTGTGTTGGTTCCACCCCAGAATGAGGTAACTTCTGAAAAATTAAAGGTTTTATCCTTGGAAAAATTTAAAAGGGTAGCTGGGCACTTAAAGGTGAATTATACCCCCCAAAAGCCAGATAAATAGATGTTGCCAGTTATAGTGAAATATTGAGAGGTCAAAACTGAGAATACTGAAACAGGTAAATTAAATTTGCCACAGCTAATTTTAGAACTGGAATTCCAACAGAAAAATAGAGAAACAAGAATTTTAGCAATCAGAGTAAGAGGCAGAAAAGGAAAAGGAGAGACAGGAAAGGAAATTCAAAAGAGAGTTTTCTGTAAAAAGTAAATGAGCAAAAGAGACAAGGAAGTGGGGGGAAACAAGTTCACATTGAGACAACTTGAGTTGAGAAGAGAAAATTCCTCTGAAGGCAATTGTAGTGCAGGAACTGCATCTAACTTGAATAAGGGGCTTAAGAACTGAAGTTCCCTCATTTAATCCCTAAATTTGATGACTTAGAGAAGAATACCATTTTTATCTCTTTCAAATGGTTAGTAAAGCAGTTAAAATGGGCAATCCAACAATGAACTGTTATTGCAAATCAAACTGTCAGATAAAGTTTACTCCCTCTTGTCTAAGGAGAATGCAATGGACAAGAGGCAGCGAAACTCCACACAGTCACCCGAGGGTGAAACTGAACCTGGGTCACTGGCTCTGTGAGGCAGCAGCGATAACCACTGAGCCACTGTGCATAGAACATAGAACGTAGAACATAGAACATTACAGCGCAGTACAGGCCCTTCGGCCCTCGATGTTGCGCCGACCTGTGAAACCAATCTGAAGCCCATCTAACCTACACTATTCCATTATCATCCATATGTTTATCCAATGACCATTTAAATGCCCTTAAAGTTGGCGAGTCTACTACTGTTGCAGGCAGGGCATTCCATGCCCTTACTACTCTCTGAGTAAAGAACCTACCTCTGACATCTGTCCTATATCTATCACCCCTCAACTTAAAGCTATGTCCCCTCGTGCTAGCCATCACAATCCGAGGAAAAAGGCTCTCGCTGTCCACCCTATCTAATCCTCTGATCATCTTGTATATCTCTATTAAGTCACCTCTTAACCTTCTTCTCTCTAATAAAAACAGCCTCAAGTCCCTCAACCTTTCCTCATAAGACCTTCTCTCCATACCAGGCAACATCCTGGTAAATCTCCTCTGCATCCTTTCCAATGCTTCCACATCCTTCCTATAATGCGGCGACCAGAACTGTACACTATACTCCAAGTGCGGCCGCACCAGAGTTTTGTACAGCTGCAACATGACCTCATGGCTCCAAAACTCAATCCCCCTACCAATAAAACCTAACACACCGTATGCCTTCTTAACAACCCTATCAACCTGGGTGGCAACTTTCAGGGATTGATGCACATGGACACTGAGATCTCTCTGCTCATCCACATTACCAAGAATCTTACCATTAGCCAAGTACTCTGTATTCCTGTTACTCCTTCCAAAGTGAATCACCTCACACTTTTCCGCATTAAACTCCATTTGCCACCTCTCAGCCCAGCTCTGCAGCTTATCTATGTCCCTCTGTAACCTGCAACATCCTTCCGCACTATCCACAACTCCACCAACTTTAGTGTCATCTGCAAATTTACTAACCCATCCTTCTACGCCCTCATCCAGGTCATTTATAAAAATGACAAACAGCAGTGACCCCAAAACAGATCCTTGACATACACCACTAGTAACTGAACTCCAGGATGAACATTTCCCATCAACCACCACCCTCTGTCTTCTTACAGCTAGCCAATTTCTGATCCAAACCGCTAAATCACCCTCAATCCCATGCCTCCGTATTTTCTGCAATAGCCTACTGTGGGGAACCTTATCAAACGCTTTACTGAAATCCATATACACCACATCAACTGCTTTACCCTCATCCACCTGTTTGGTCACCTTCTCAAAGAACTCAATAAGGTTTGTGAGGCAGGACCTACCCTTCACAAAACCGTGTTGACTATCCCTAATCAAATTATTCCTTTCTAGATGATTATAAATCCTATCTCTTATAATCCTTTCCAAAACTTTACCCACAACCGAAGTAAGGTTCACTGGTCTATAATTACCAGGGTGTCTCTACTCCCCTTCTTGAACAAGGGGACAACATTTGCTAGTCTCCAGACTTCTGGCACTATTCCTGTAGACAATGACGACATAAAGATCAAAGCCAAAGGCTCTGCAATCTCCTCCCTAGCTTCCCGGAGAATCCTGGGATAAATCCCATCCAGCCCAGGGGACTTATCTATTTTCACACTTTCCAGAATTGCTAACACCTCCTCCTTATGAACCTCAATCCCATCTAGTCTCATAGCCTGTATCTCAGTATTCTCCTCGACAACATTGTCTTTTTCCTGTGTGAATACTGACAAAAAATATTCATTTAGCGCCTCTCCTATCTCTTCAGACTCCACGCACAACTTCCCACTACTGTCCTTGACTGGCCCTAATCTTACTCTAGTCATTCTTTTATTCCTGACATATCTATAGAAAGCTTTAGGGTTTTCCTTGTTCCTACCTGCTAAAGACTTCTTATGTCCCATCCTGGCTCTTCTTAGCTGTCTCTTTAGGTCCTTCCTGGCTAACTTGTAACTCTCAAGTGCCCTAACTGAGCCTTCACGCCTCATCTTGACATAAGCCTCCTTTTTCCTCTTGACAAGAGATTCAACTTCTTTAGTAAACCATGGTTCCCTCACTCGAAGACTTCCTCCCTGCCTGACAAATACATACTTATCAAGGACACGCAGTAGCTGTTCCTTGAACAAGCTCCACATTTCAATTGTGCCCAACCCCTGCAGTTTCCTTCTCCATCCTATGCATCCTAAATTTTGCCTAATCGCCTCATAATTGCCTTTCCCCCAGCTATAACTCTTGCCCTGTGATATATACCTATCACTATCCATTGCTAAAGTAAACGTAACCGAATTCTGGTCACTATCACCAAAGTGCTCACCTACCTCCAAATCTAACACCTGGCCTGGTTCGTTACCCAGTACCAAATCCAATGTGGCCTCGCCTCTTGTTGGCCTATCTACATACTGTGTCAAGAAACCCTCCTGCACATATTGGACAAAAACTGACCCATCTAAAGTACTCGAACTATAACGTTTCCAGTCAATATTTGGAAAGTTAAAATCCCCCATAACAACTACCCTGTTACTTTCGCTCCTATCCAGAATAATCTCTGGAACTTTTCGGAGGCCTATAGAAAATTGCCAACAGGGTGACCTCTCCTTTCCTGTTTCTAACCTCAGCCCATACTACCTCAGTAGACGAGTCCTCATCAAACATCCTTTCTGCCACTGTAATACTGTCCTTGGCAGAAATGGAGACAAGTGGGAAAATGTTCAAATCTATGCCCCTGTGGGAAACCAGAACAAGTAAAGGAAAATTTTTGCTTCTCCAGAGTCATGGAGAAGGGTCACTGGACTCAAAACGTTAACTCTGTTTTCACTCCACAGATGCTGCCAAACCTACTGAAATTTTCCTGTACCTTCACCCCACTGCTTTCATCATTACATAACTTATAGAAGTTCTAACTTGGTCATTAATTTTGAATTATTCTGATGATGTTGAAAAATTTATTTGCTGAGTCCTATTTAGTGACATTTTTGCAAAAGCTGATATTTTTGTTGTCCTGTTTCAGTGACATTTTAAAAAGTTTTTCGCAATATTTTCCCCCATTTGCTGTATAAATTTTGCACACGTTAAAATCAAGTAAACTTTATATTTTATGTTACCATTGTGAGTGTATAAGATTATTGTAGTTTGGGACTGTAAGTTGTAAATGTAGGGTAAATGAAAGGTGCCATGTGACTTGCCACATGTTCTGATATTCACCTTACATTATGTCTGGATAATTTCATTGGTAGACTTCAAAGAAAGGCTTAGATTGTACTATCGAGAAGGAAGTGCAAGATTTTACTCTTCAATACAATGTCTCCCAAGATCCCAGTAAGGTGTCGTTGATGTCGGATTGTAAACAGTTGTGCTACAAACTAATTCCAAGATGAAAGGATGTTAAATTCAATGATAACTAATTAGTATTTCTAGCGAACCGCAAGATTAATATTTTTGGCAATGCAATAGAGAAGATTGCGAGGGCCCCAATTCAGATCAGGTTATAGGCTTCGCCAGAAAGAGCCACATAAGATTCTGGGACATACATCCTGGCATGTCCACAGGAGAACAGTCATTGAAATAGGTTTTATTTCATGGGTGGAATTAAAAGATCTCTGAAAACTTAAGAAAACACCTATTCACTCAAGGTTTACTTTGTGGCAAAACAGGGATATGAGAACCCATTGCAAGCTGAGAACAAGTTTAAACTGTTTGATAAAAGGAGTTTGTGTTGTGATGGATTTAGATGTAAATGTTCCTCTTCGTAGTTTAATGTATAAGTTGCCCAACAAAAGAAATAGTGTTTGATCAAATTATTTTTTAGCCATTTGATAGAAAGAAGAAAAACTATAATTTGAAATCTTGTGTCATTTGGCCAGTTATAAACTACAAGTTTGAATTTCTTAAACTTTCTTAGTCTCTGTGGTGATCATAACATACCATACATAAAAAATCAAAGCAACCTAGTATATGGTTTACACCATATTTTCACATAACCAAACACTGTAGAGTGCTGCTTATCATTGCTTCTAATACTAATTATAACTCAGTTGTAACTTATATCTCCTGAGTCATCAGGTCAGCCTATTTGAAGCTACAGAAGGTAAACCAACAGATTTTGCTTGCAATATGCAGTATTATATACTTAATGTTATGCTATAATGCCATTGTTGTCAATTCAATGACTAGCATAGTCAATATGTGCTCATTCTTGACATAAAAAGCATATCTGTGGGAAACGTCTATTTACTATTATATTTGATTAAACATACAAACGTAAGATTTAGGTGCAGAAATAGGCCAATCAGCCCCTCAAGCCTGCTCCACCATTTAATAAGATCATAGCTGATCTGATTACTCCACAATCCCACATACCCTTACACCTTTTCAGCTCCATACTTATCAAGAATATGTCTAACTCTGCCTTAAGAACACGCTGGGAATCTGCTTCCACCACCTTTTGAGAAAGAGAGCTTCAAATTCACACAGTCCTGTGTGAAAAATAAAATCACATTTCTGTTTAAATGAAAACTCCTTATGTTAAATCAGTGATCCCTAGTTCAAGGTTCTCTCACAACGGGAAATATCCTCTCCACCTACATCCTGTTAAGATCCCACAAGTTTTAATCAAGTCACCTGTTACTCTTCTAATCTCTGACAGATCTGGCAGTGGGGTGGCATGATAGTTCAAAACGTCAGAGGCCCACATTTGATCTAGCCTTGGGTGACAATCTATGTGGAGTTTGCATGTTTTCCACATGTCTGTGGGAGTTTCTGCCAGGTAATCCAGTTTCCTTCCTTAGTCCAAAGATGTGCAGCTTAAATGGATAGGCTATGTTAAGTTGCCCCGTAGTGTCCAGGGATGTACAGGGTGAATGGGGTCTTCCCACACTGTGGGGATTTTATGATTCTATGAACTAGGCCCAGCCTGTCCAACCTTTCCTTATAAGACAAGCCAGGCATTAGTCTAGTGAACAAAAACAAAGTTGCTGGAAAAGCTCAGCAGGTCTGGCAGCATCTGTGGAGGAGAAAACAGAGTTAACGTTTCGGGTCCGGTGACCCTTCCTCAGAACTTTCTCCGAACCTTCCTCAGAACTAGTGAACCTTCTTTGAACTGCTTCCAATGCGTTTGTGTTTCATTTAAATAATGTTGATTAAATTTGTTCATCTCTTCCAGGAAACATCACTTTTATTGTACCACTCGTTATCCTGGTTTTTCTGATTATTGCAGTTGTCGTTGGAATAATCATCTGCAAAAGAAGACAACGGTAACTGATTTGGGCTGTAATTCATTCTTGGAATAATACTGAATATTGAAATGGTGTATTGCTTCCTGGAAGCATTTCATGGAAAATGAGCTCAGGCATTCTCAGCTCACTTATGATTGGCAATACAGCACACTTATTTCAACTTACGTTTGTACCAAATTGAAAATCTCGATCAGGGAGGCCAAAAATCTCAGTCAAGGAAGACAGGCTGGAGGGGAGAATAATTCAAACTGCTGCAAAAGATTCATGGAGGCATATTGTGCATTAGAATAGAAAAATTGCTACTTTGTATCTTTCTCCACCTGGGAATTCATGTGGTTGATACCAACAGCCTCAAGTAGAAAATAAAGCACACTTTGTTTTAATCAGCAACTTATGAACCAGCACTCTTGACAAACCAGCAAAAATTACATACCTGAAATACCGCAAAGTTTACTGTATTAATCTGTCCAGTTATTGTAGTTTTTAAAATTTATTTACCTCCATGTAAAAATACTTGTTGTTCAATCGTATGTCCACATGAAATATCAACAGTTGATTCAATTTTGAGTCAATTTCTCCTCAAATACCACGATCTCTTGTCAATTGAGTATTCAGTTTGAGGGTGCGAGTAAGAAGGCTCTCTGCCAGTAAATTTTATTTAAGGCAATGTTGTATTATTATTTAAGTGATTTATGCTGTAAATAAAGTATAACAGTGATCTGCATACCTTCTGCATTGAATTTCTATTATTTAGTGTGTGTCCACATTGAATATGTGGACCTCTCGATTATCCAGAATACTTGATCAACTGGTATATTCCTGGTCTTTTAGGTGCCAATTCATAAAAAGTTTAATAAAAGTTAATAAAAACCCAGATGTTCTCTGTGATGGAGAGGCAAAATGGCAGATATCCCCAAAAATTTTAAGGATGTAATTTCCTATTTCCCCAGTCAACTAAGACACAAAGCAGCAATCTTTCTACTGTAATGTACAATATAACTCCATGAATCTACTTCAGCAGTTTGACATATCCCTCATCCTAGACTGAGATTTTTAACTTCCCTGATTGAGATTTTCAACTTAGTACAAAAGTAAGTTGAAATAGGTATGTTGTCTGAGAATACCAAGTGAACTGAGAATACCAAGAATTAGCACATCCATGGTATGTAGAGATGGCTGGCCATTTAAATGATTAACTGTTATCATTTAAATCCCATTTTGCTATCCTTGGTGACTGAAACTCAAAGTGTGCAGAGTAGAATATGTCAGAGCAGGTCTGTGTCAGTGAACTTAATTCGATAGCCAGAGTAATCCCTTGGAAAACTGAAATGCCGCTGTAGATATGGTCCTTGGAATCTTGGGGAGGGAGATTAGGTAACTTTGGGATGGTGGAGGTGAGACACCATAAGGGCAAGGTGAGTCAGGTATCCTTTGGGATTGTGAAAAGTTGACAAAAATATGCCTAAGTATCCACATGGCCATTGAAACTCTTGAAGAACTTTCAAAGCTATTAAACCCATCAGCAAAGTGTCAAAGTTGCCAAAGGGCTGTCAAAGCCGTCAAACAACTTAGAATATAAATGTTAATTTTCATAAGAGATTGCTTTCAATGAGTTTCAATCCTTTTAATAAACAAGTATTTTTTTTATACAGTGACAGCAATAGATACAACTTTATTTTCTGTCAGAATTGGCTACTGAGAATGCCCATGATGAGTTGGCATGGACACGGAAAGACAGAAAGACAGAAGTTTGGAATGGGTTATCATGAGGGTATATAAGGGTTAGCACTGCTGCCCAACTGCACCAGGGACTTGGGTTTGTTTCCAGCCTTGGTCGACTGTCTATGTGGAGTTTGCACATTCTCCCAAGTCTGCGTGGGTGTCCTCCGGGTGCTCCATGCTTCCTCCCAGGGTCCAACAGATGTGCAGATTAGGTGTATTAACCGTGCTAACTTGTTTCATAGTGTCCAGGAATATGCAGGTTAGGTGAATTGACCATGGGAAATGCAGGGTTAAAGGGATGGGGTGGGGGTGGAGTTCTGGGTGGGATACTCTTAGGAAGGGTGGTGTGGACTCGATGGGCTGAAGGGCCATAGGGAAGGCAAAGGATATAATGTAACATGAATGGGACAATGGGAGAATGTGAGGGGTGGGTTTGGAGGTGAGGGTGAAAGCTAGAGAGGTGTTTTGGTTCCATTGTTTTCTTAACAAACTGAAATATGCTGCTAGTGCACAGAGGCTGGCTTTGCTTACAGCGAACATCCACTGCCAGCAGCTTCTGCTTTCATTCCAGGATCACCCACTCACTGCCCAAGGACTCTGCTCTCTGGATTGAAAATCCAATCTTCTGGGGCACCTTTCCTAGCTTGGGCTAACTCCCCATCTTTGTGCTGCCGACCCAGGGGTGAAAATGTCTTTAATACAAATCCTTGAGCAATAATAATTCATGTTAACATTATTTGGTAACTTCCCATTAGTGTGAAAATTGTACGAAGGCATCCACTGACGAATGGAGGCATGAATGTGGAAATCGGAAATCCAACATACAACATGTATGAAGTTGACCGCAACCATGAAAATTCCGGAGGTTTGCTGGATCCAGATTTTACATTAGATTCGGAAAAGGTATGTGTGCCCTAGCAGCAAAATTGCGGAAACCAAGAACACATTTTGCTAATGGTCTGCATGCAGTTAGAAGAAGGACTGATAAAAATTGTGCTGAATTGTCAATATATCAATACAGAGGATTGTCACTGTTTTGTATTATTTCCTTTATTTACTAAACATACTGTTTAGTCACAGTGTTTCCTGTAAGCCAATTATCTGAAAATATTAATGACCACAATAGAACCACAACTAAAATGGAGTAAATCTGTAAACTTGTAAAACTATCAAAACTGGAATCATTTGGAATCAGAAAGGATACTCTCCACGAGTTAGAGTAGCACAAGGGAAGATGGTTATGGTTGTTCAAGGTCAATTATCTCAACAGCAAGATAATACTGCAAGACTTCCTCAAGGTGGCATTCTAGGGCCAAACAGCACTAGCTGTTTCATCAATGACATACCCTCCATTGTAAGATCTGAAATAGGAATGTTCGCTGATGATTACACGATGTTCAACACCATTCACGACTCCTCAGATACTGATGGAGTCCATATGCAGCGAGACTTGGAAAACATCCAGGCTTGGTCTGATAAGTGGCAAGTAACATTCACATCAAAAGTACCAGGCAATGAGCATCTTTAACAAGAGAGAATCTAACCATCACCCTTTGATGATCAACAGCTTCATCATCATAGAACACCCTATTATCAACATCCTGGTGTTACAGTTGTCCAGACACCACACCAGCCATATAATTACTATCACTAAGGATCAGCTCAGAGGCTAGAAATTCTGCAGTGAGTAATTCACCTCCTGTCACCCCAAAGCCTGTCCACCATCTACAAGACATAAATCAGTACTGTAATGGAAAACTCTCCACTAGCCTGGATGAGTACAGATCCAACAACATGCAAGAAGCTCAACACCATCCACGACAAAGCATCCCACTTCATTGATACCCCAACCACAACCTTTAACATTCATTCCTTCGTCACTAATGCATGGCATCAATAATGTGTACCATTTACAAGCTTCACTGCAGTAAGTCACTAAAGTTGCTTCAACAGTACCTTCCAGACCTGTCATTTGGAGGGCATGGGCAGCAGATACATCAGATTACTGCCACTGCAAATTTCCCTTCAAGTCACACACACCATCCTTACTAGGAAGTGTGTTACCCCTTCCTTTATTGTCGCTGAATCAAAATCCTGAACATCTTTCCCAACAACACTGAAGGTATACCTCTAACCCCAAGTACTGCAGCGGTTCAAGAAGGCAGCTTACCATTATCTTCTCAAGAAATTAGGGGCGGACAATAAATGGTGACCTGGCCATTGATGTTCACATGCCATGAAAAACTTATTTTTTATTATAATCCATAACAGATACAGATCCACCTTGAAATCCTATTTTGATCTGTTGTATAATATTTTCACCAGTCAATGTATGGGTTTCTGATTCAATATTTAAATATGAATTCCAGCTTTCCCCAATACCATCTCTACAACAAACACTATCACTGTCTGTGTTGAACACATATAGTGATAGTTATATATATTTAGGAATATGTATATTTGCTTGCTCTATGCGCAAGGATATGCAATCCTTAGATTTTTGTTTCCACTGAAATTGAAAAGCAAATGGCTACTCAGAATGTCAGAACTCATTATTAGAACTTTGAACAAGTTTTAATTCTTTCCCATTGGCAAAGAACTGTAACATGCAGAAAATTGGCAACACTTGGATGTAAATTGGATTATCATTGATGGAACACTTACAGAGAATAAGGTTTCTTGTGTCTCTTAAGAAATATCTATTTGGAAACTTCTAGAATAGATACGTATTCTTACCATGAGTCAAAATATCTTTTTCTGCAAGACGTCTGTATGCAACAGTGAGGTCAGCCATTCTATTTAGTAGATATTATACCAGGCAACATGCAGTGTGGTATTCAATGGGGAAACCTTCATTTAACTTAATTGGCAAAAATTTTAATTTATCTCTGTTACCACTGTAACTTGTAAAGTGCACATACTGCAACATTACTGTAAGGTCAAACTACTTCCAGCAATGACAGTCACTGGGGTTTAATAGGTTTGAAAGTAACTGCGAATAGAGATACCAAAATCTCATGAAAGATTGATGTAAATTCAAAGTCATAAGCAAATTATTAAATTGATTCCAAAAGCATCATACTGCAGACCTTGAGGGGCTGTTGCTGCAGGCATGCATATTTCAATTTTAATGAATAATATATAATGGTGTCCTTTTGTACCGAGAACAAATGCTAGATTAATATTATCTTTTAAGTTTTGTATACTCAACATCTCATTTTCAGTGTTCTAAGGATCTAGTGACATTCAGAATTCAATAATATGACATCTGCCCTTTCTTTTTACGGCAGCCGACAAATTACTCAAATCCTGTTTATGCAAAACTGTACTTGGATACATCAAACTGCCGGAATTCCTTAGTCAGCACAGAGGAAAAGAAAGAACTTCTTCCAAAGAAATTAGCAGATGGCCTGCGGGAGACTGTTGCTTAGATAACCCTTTAGTCTTGTATCTTTTTTAAACACTGTATAAATGTATAAAGAAAGGATTAATTTTTCTATGTAATGACAGTGTTCTGATTATATTTTTTTGCATCAGCACTTATCTGTGTTTTTGCGCTGAAGTTTCTTGACTGACCCTTAGTCCAACATTTCTGTTTAGTGGACCGGGAAAGACACCTGCACTAAACCACGTAAAACAAAGCTGCTGATTGCATTTCCCAGTGTATTGATCCTGTACTTGGAAAAATCATGTCAATTTTTTTTTTTTCATTTGTAGACAAGTTCTGTTTTTGGTAGAAGTACAGCACATTTGACAATCTCCACTGCAACAATTTCAACTAATGAATAATTCTGATTATAAATATTTTTTGACCCTGTTGATTTTCCCATGACTGGTTTCAATACCTATTGTCTTTGGGGGAGAAAAATGCCCTCATTTGAAGCAGTTTTGGAATTGCTGTGGTCATTTCTTCAAATAATTAACCAATAAACAGCCAACTGAAACTTAAATCAAACATCAAATTTCAGGGTCTGACTGAACTGCTGGTTTGGTTCTTATTTAGCTTGTCATTGTTTTTATTTTAAAATAATAGTCTATGCTTGATGGGTTGCATTTCATTTTGTTTGCGTAGAAGAGAAGGAGATTTTGATATGTTTCTATTATACCTGGCTTGGTTTGAGTAAATAAAATGTTGCATATTCTAACCAAATGTCGAAACTGATCCTGTGAATTCCTGCTATTGGAAAAGAACGTTAACTTTCAAAATTGTTAACTCACATATAGGCCCAAAAATTGCTGTGAAAGATCAACAAATTGTGTGGACAATGAAATAGGCTCTGTCAATTTAGTGTTGATTATCTATTACCATGGAACTGTGCGATAGAAATGGTACTGGGCCCCCAGCAGGACTCCAGGATCTGGGAGAGCAGGACAAGTAACTGTGCATCCTCTTAGCTAATCAGATTAGACTACTGCAGATTTAACAGAACAAAGATTAAGGAGGAAGATTATGTTTGAATGGTAAAGAGAAGGAATGAAAAATTAGAATAGATAATTAAAAACACTCTCAAATGATGATTAAAGCATGAAAGAATCTGAAATAACTCGAAGGAGGCAGGTATCCTGTCACCGAGTCACCTTTTTATTTATATCTAAGATTTGTACCTAAGATGACAATAAACCAAATTCTAATTTGAATTTTATTTTTATATTATTCTTCTTTTTCCTTTCTCTCCCACACATGCACAGCTTGTCAGAGCCAGTCCGTAGAATGAGGAGATTCTCTGAACCTCCTGTTTATATCTGTCAGCCAGGACTCCCTGATTCATCCATATTAATAGCTGCAATCAAGCAACTCAGGCAATGAGATCCACCTGGCCCTCATTCCAATCACTACAGAATCAGATTCCAATTTTCAGTGCTAGAAAGGTCAACTACCAATAATTAACACATATCATGTTGTTTAAATAGGAATGTGGACTTGAAATTGCTTAACCTTTTAAGATGTATTCACCTGACAACCACACAAGTGCAGAAACTTCACAGCGCTAAGTGCCATTGAATAAGTAGCTAGACTTTATGATGTTGTTTTCACAAAGGTAATGGAATGGAACACCATCTGCAAGTTCCCCTCCAAGGTATACATTGCCCTAACTTGGAAGGATATCACTGAACCTTCAAAGTCATTAGGTGAAGATCCTGGAAGTCCCTTCTTAGCAGCACTGAGAACGTACCTACAGCACATGGACTGTTGAATTTCAAGAAAGCATCTCACGACTTCTTTCTCCAGGACAATGGGCAACAAATGCTGACCTAGCCAGCAGTGTTGACATCCTGTTTAAAGTAGAAAAATATGCCAGTACCAACTTTTGGATTTCTACATTTAATTGTACAACATGCTCACCAAAATTTGCTGTGAGATGTGTATTAGTAATGGTGAGCAACCTTAGCCTCATTATTTTGACAGCAATTTTTAGGCCATGATTTTTTTTTTGCTATTTTAACAAGAAATATTATCAACTTGGTTATGTTGTATGGATTAGTGACTGTTAAAGTTTCGGACAGGAATTTTACTCAAGTATCCAACAATTAATATTGCAAAGTACAATTTCACCCTACAGCTGTTTCAATAATCCTGATCAGAGATAAAAATAGTACAAAGACAGGAAGTTAAATGTGTCTCAATTTTCAACAGACTTCTGAAGTTGTCAACACCAATCACTCTTAGTGACCATTGAATGTGTTCAGATTGGGGTTAAATTAGAGTTTGCGCTTTCTGTCAGATGGAATTTGTTGTGCTTACTAGGAAATCTGATACAAAACCTAGGCACACTAATTTAATCAAGAGAATGTGGGGAAATGAAGTTGATATTGATGATCGGTCATAACCTTGTGAATGGCAGAATGGACCTGAGCGTTCGGATAGTCTTCTAAACATATAATCCATGGCACTTAGCAATTTTGACCTCCGCTAGCCTGTTTCAGACCAGCACCATATTCTCTATTACTATTGAATTCAGCTGATTCAATGATTCAAAATAAATAATGACAAAACTTAGAACATATAAGCAACATTGGAACTTCAGGTGTATTCAAACAAGGTGAACAAATGTAATATACAGGAATAATTCTTGGTGTTAAGGGAAACATCATGTTGCTGAATGGCAGTATGAAATTTGCATATCTACTGATGCTAAAAATTAGTTAATTAATTAATAATAGCATTTTTAGGTTAGATCTTAACTATTGTAATGTTGCCTGACTGGTTGGGCATGACAATAATTACAATGCAGTTAAATAGTGCAGAATATTTTAATTTAATCTTCAGGGTTTTTTTTTTAAGTTGTAAGGACCAAAGGTTTGCCGAGGAAGAAAATCTTGCTAAAGTTTCTAAATATATGAAAACTTTAGTTGGTACAATGCATGTTTCAGCAGTAAGAGGTATCATTTGTGAAAATTGAATTACAAATTCTGTCTGTGCTGTAAAATGTAACAGAAATTAAAATCTGGTAAACTAGTTTTTTATGGTATTTGGTAGCATAGTTCTAATGTACATTCAAACATTGCATCACCCTGGTGCTTTTTTGTAATTGGAAAGTTCTATGAGATAGAACAAGGTAAGCAACCGTTATTTTAACCTAATGGGCCACCTTTTACAATAATTTATGACAGCATTATTATTAATCTCTTCACATCTGAGCCCTGGAGAACATTAATGCTAATTAATACATTGCTTTTTCCTTCAAAAAAATTAACGCATTTGTACTTCTTTAATGTTATTCCTACTTTTGAAAGTGTTTCAGTTCTCCATGCTTGTCACAGTGCAAGGGACAGATCCATGTTTTCCAACTCAAAGTATCTGGATATCTAGGACCATGTGTAATTTAATAGCTTACCGCACCAACATTCTTATTTTAACAACAATCCAAGAATTATTTTAAACTTATAATTATGTTCATACCCCATCTTTGACTTTCCCCTATCATAACACTTTGATTTCCTTCTACCCCTGTAATGCCATAATTCCTATACCTAGTCAGCTATCTGAAGTCTTCAGCATACATTGTTAGAGAGTCATAGAGTCATACAGCATGGAAACAGACCCTTTGGTCCAACCAGTCCACATCAGCCATGTTCCTAAACTAAACTATTTACACCTACCTGCACTTGGCAAATATCATTCCAACCCTTTCCTATTCATTTGTTGCCACAACCACTGATTTTTAAATAATTTGATGAAATTGTGAAATTATGCCAGTTTGCTTACTTCACATAAGATTTAGAAATTTCCAACTGTGTCTTCTAGTTGTGTCCAATTTGATGTTCCTGTGCCTTTACTATCTCAAACATTGAGAAGAGAAATTTAACCCCTGAGAACAAGCCGGAAATTAGCTTTGATGCTTAATTATGGGAATGGATGAGCAGCGTACTTCCTGTTGGTCATCAAAATAACCTGACGTATATTGCCTCCATTTCCACAATCTTCATATTTCTCACCCTGTGGTTTGACGGCATTCCTTACTTACGAATCACTGACATACAGCCACCACCTTTTGTCTCTTGATCAGCCAACACCCACTCCCATGATCAGCAGTTGACCTTCACAATCACAATGAATTCAGGTCAACCAGTTATATCTACCTTCGTCACTGCTGCCTCTTCAGGTCCCAGCAGTGGCCTTTTACCCCATGTCTTGAACATCTTACTAAAGGCCAGCCTTTCAATCTATCTGGTTATCAGCTTGGAACAGAAAAGAAATATGTTCCATTAAATTCAGCAAAACCATTGCTTTTCCTGGCCTTTCCAGTTTTCCCAGCAGTTACAAGATTTTCCTGCCTCCTTAGTGCCTTAATCATGATTAAAGCATTGCAGAAACAACTATCCCAGGGCTTCAAATTGCAGTTGTCGTTTAACACAGTTCACTTATTCATGTTATCAGCTAGGTATTCCTGCCAGAAACATTACAGCTTTTGATTAAAGACACTAGTTTTAATATTATATATGTTGTCCATCTTTACTTTGACAAGATTGACAAGATTAATTGGTTCTAGTATATGGAGAGAAAACACAATGATATTGGGTCACTTTGACCCTGCAATCTTTCTGAGTAATGTGGTCAGGAAACAAACAGTTTGCTTATTTCTCAAGATTTTAAGAAGGCTGATGCAATAATCAACCAAGATCCAATGTCAGCAAATGGGAAAATAAGTATTTGCTGTAGATTATTGTGTGCTTCAGTGGTTCATAGTGTGTACGCAGCTTCAAAGTTCATCTCTTTTATGCTCCAGGTAAACTCAAGCAGGTTACTTCTGACAGTAATTATTAATTTTCATTACTCATTGTCAGCACTTCCTATTACTGATGCTATTTGCCAGATCTAGATAGTTCAATATTCACCTGTGGGAAATTTCTTTGTAGCCATTGGCAGTACAGTAAAAAATACAACTTAGTAAATTAAAGCAATGAATTCATTGTACACAACCACCAAAGTTTAATTGAACGGTTTGTTTTGTTACTCAGCCATTTTGACAGATTGAAAGAAAGATTTACATTTATATAGCATTTCCATGACAACTAGATGGTTCCAAGTGCTTCACAGTCAATGAAGTAATTCTTGAAATGTAGCCACTTTTGTAAAACACGATGGTCTTGCTTTGTTTGTGGATTGTAAAAAAAACCTCTGTACTTACTTACCTGATCTTTGAAAGATAATTTGTCACCTAGACCAATCTTGCCAATGTTTCTGCATTATTTTGTTTTTCAGCAGTGGGTGGCTTTCCCTGGGGCTCATCTACCTTTCATTCTAGTATCTAATCTTCTTGATGTGTCAGTCAAGCTTCCAATTGTACCTTAACCATCACATCCATTTTTCATCCCATCTTTTTCCCTGTCACCATCTCACTATTTCCTAATTGTGTTTCAACTTTACAAATGGTTGTTTGGGAGGGAAATACAGGAGTTAGAAATATTGCCGGAGAACAAGTGACAATTACCAAGAAAGATTCGACTGTACCTTATATAATGAGAAAATGATAAAGATTCAAAAAATTGAAGATATGATAAAGAAGAAAGATTGTTACACTAAGTAAATTAAGAAGTAACATTGCATAAATAAGATTACAAAGTGTTGGAAGCACAGAAATTGTGGCACAGAAGGAACCATTCAACTATCAAAGGCCTTGAGTCTTTTCTTCAGTAACTAATTGTGGCAAAGAATTTTGTGTTCTG